TTATAAATCGCACGCTTTTACATTAAGCCTCTCGGCTACGCAATCGATGGGGGAAATTTCCTATTTAAGAAACATCCCTTACCAATGAAATAAATTAGATCATGCGTGAATTTTACTTTGTAATTAATGTAAGTAAGGATGTCAACAATATTCATAATATTGAATAAATAATATTGTCAACTAGTTTAAATTTGATACGGTTATTAGAATTTAATAATAAATAAATAAAAAACATTATTTTTTTCCTAACCTTTTTCAAGTTTGACACTCCTCATGGTAAATTTGATTATTCTTTTTTTCCGTGTACAAAATAGTAAATTGACGTTGAATGAAATGTATAATTAATTATTCTCACAGCAATATTTAATAATTTAATGAACTTAACTGCACTGCATAATAGTTGAGAGTAGTAATAGTAAGTGAAACGGTAAGATAAGTGAACGACCATTAGTGTGAGAGAGAGAGAATAACTTGTGGTTTTCGAGTAGGTATCTACTTTATGTGCACGGCATTCATTTTTCCAAAGAACTGGACTGAGTACTATTTGTTCAATATTCGCTTCTATTATTGACTTGTGTTTTGTACACTGCCGCGTTCTTTTAACAATTACATGAGAAAGCAATTTCTCATTCCAATTTTTTATACTCTTATTCCCTCTTAGACTAGGTTGAGAAAATGAAATACACAGTATTTTAAATAATAGGTAAGTTTTATTATAATATTAAAATACTTAGTACAAATGAAGTAGTTAAAATTATGTAACTTGTTAAATTAATTATATGTAATAAAGTAGTATTTTTCATGATTATTTAATAATAGATTGTGTATGTATTTTTTAAATATGTGTAATAGAATTTTTACAATTGATCGCTAATAGACTTGACAACACCGTGTGCAATGATATCATTTTGAACATACAGTACCGTCCGAAATTGTCAGTCCACCCATTTTTAAAGGAATGAAAAAAATTTGTTAACATAAAATTCATGAAAACTAAATTTTTTTTTGGTTTATATTTTAAAAGACGATCAAATTTTGAAGAGAATAAGACCTTACAGAAGTCATTTGGCCAAAATTTGTAGAAGATATTCTTAAAAATCGTCATTTTCAATGTTTCACAAAAATTTGAATAACTTCTAAAATAATGAACGCTTTTTAATAATCTTAGGCTTATTTTAAAGGTCATTTTCTACGGAATAAGAATTACTTATAGGCATTTACCTGTAATTTTTTACTTGGAATAAGCATGCCGTCAAAGTTGGACAAAAAAATTCAAAAAATTTGAAACAATATTATTAAAAGAAAAATAATTTTTGAAATTCAAACATATTTTTTTATTAAATTTTCTTGAAGAATCTACACCATATCATGTTTTATATATGTTCTAGAATAGTTTTTAGTACAAAAAATTTATTTCAAATTTTTCTAATTTTTTTGTCCAACTTTGACGTCATGCTTATTCCAAGAAAAAAATTACAGGTTAATGCCTATAAGTAATTCTTATTCTGTAGAAAATGACCTTTAAAATAAGCCTAAGATTATTAAAAAGCGTTCATTATTTTAGAAGTTATTTAAATTTTTGTAAAACATTGAAAATGACGATTTTTTAAGAATATCTTGAAAAAATATTTGCCAAATGACTTCTGTGAGGTCTTATTCTTTTCAAAATTTTATCGTCTTTCAAAATATAACCAAAAAAAATTTGAGTTTTTATACATTTTATGTTAAAAAATTTTTTTCATTCCTTCAAAAATGTGTGGACTGACAATTTTGGCCGGTACTGTAAATAAGTTCAAGAAATACAATATCAAAATGTAGTGTAATAAATGTGTTTTCCAATTTTGTTTGAACTTGTCTTTTAAACAAATCAAATTTAGCGAGTAAAAGTTGTTTTATAAAATCTAAATTGTGAAAAATAATTTTTTCAGTTAAAATATAATTCGAAACACTTTGAATTAGTGCTTGTGTACAAACTTCAACATTTTTTAATAAACGCTCTAGTCTACGAAAACGTTCATCGACGCACACAATAATATTTTTGAGTCCTTGGAAAGAACTTTTTTGCATTACAATGGAAGGAGTGTAGATTTTTTTCTTTTTTGATTCACCACATACATTTTCATCTTCTTCATCCACAATAGCGTCGAAAATAATAGCTTTTGATCCGTATGCACTGGAAAATAGAAGACGATATTTTCCTAATACAGCACCTTGTGAATATAGAGGTGATGATAAGTTTGATTCGTCAAAATAGGTGTCAATTAATTCAATTTTTTGTTGTAGAGCTGTCCATGTTTTTGAATCAAATGTAATTTCTTGTGAAGAATGGTTTAAAAGTCGAATAACAGGTAAAGGTGTACAATTTTCTTGTAGTTCAATTCCCACAATCACTTTTTTTGAAAATGAACTATTTAATGGATAAATAGTTGGTAATAATAGATGTAAATTTTTTCTGTGTGTTGTAATGTCACGTGTCATAAACAAACGTTTTGCAACAGACCGTGTGATTTTTTTCTTGGGTGATGATATGAGAGGTATATTTTCTTTATTCGACTGAGAATCAGTAAAATCTTGTGTATCAATTTGAGACATGGTTAATACTTTGATGTCTGTATAGTGACTGAATGAAAATATTTTTTTCCCTCTTATATAGAACGAAAAATTGATTGGTAGGGATAAAAATTTTAAAACGGTAAAAACACGTTTTTAAAATTTCTAATTTAAATATATTTTCAAGATCGGCATCTGTTTTAAAAATAATGTGTAACAAGCCGATTTTTAGACTACTTTTAATACTATTAAAAAGCAAATAACTGTTTTCAAATTCTCAGAAAAAGTTGTTTTTTTGTGTAACGGTAATAAAATAACCATAAAAATATAAAATATTGTTTCCAAAATTTAATTAAAAATAATTTATTTTTTAAAAATATGTAATATTTAATCTTTTAGAAATGGGAAAATTATAAATTAAGGTTAATGTTTCAAAGAAAATCTTTGAAGAATACCGGTAAATACTTAAAAAAGACTGTTTAGAATTTTTAACATGAGAAAATCAATAAATTTTCTAAAGAAAAATATAAGACGGAATGTAAAAAAGACAATAAAAAGATCGAAACTTTCCGATTGTCAAGATGGTTATGATTAAAAATGTATTCTTCTACAAATGGGTAAATTATAAATTAAGGTTAATGTTTCAAAGAAAATCTTTGAAAAAAGCGGCAAGTAGTTAAAAAAGACCGCCCAATAGTTAAACTTAACAATTAAAAACAGGCGACAGAGAACTAGATAACAATAATATGAGAAGGATGCAACATTTTTCTTTTTTCATGGTTGTTAAAATTACAAAAAGTAAAAAAGAAACGATAGAGATCAGAACGTTTCATTGTCAAGACGACTGCATTGGAAAATCATAAAAAGTGAAATTTACGATAGGGTGATATTTAGCTAAGGAGTAAAAAGGCTTAAAGTGAGGTACCTGTCTGCAACCCGAAAGAGTAATACAGACGGCGCCACGTAAATAAAGAGCGGAAAATTTCACCAGGACCATGGAGTCACTCAAGGGTTCGTGTCGCATAGTCGCTGTTCTATTATTTTCCAAAAATGATATTTGTGTGTTTCAAAAGGTATATGTATTAGTAGCCAATAGGATTCGAGTAAAACTTAACATACAAACAAAAATAATGTTTAAAAAGTCCTTTTCAGAGTAAAAGATTCAGTTTTTACGAAGTCTTCACCATGGTAACACTGGGTGACTTGACCACTGTTTTAGAAATTTTAAATTTCGACGAGGAAAAGAGTTTAAAAATTTTTCATTTAATTTTGGATAATTGTGATGATGCGGAATTGTTACAAGTGGCTCTCGAATTAAGTGATATTAATTTAATTCGTCGTATCCAAAGTAGATTAGAAAATTCAACGGAAAATTTCAAAGTTTTAATTGAAAGACATATAGGTGTGTGCGAAACATAATAAATTTTTTCTAATTAAATTTAGTTTTTATAAAATAATTTGAATTACAAATTTTTAATTTTTAGATTGTTCAGTGTTTATATGAAAATAAAATTGAATTTCTTAAAGTGATTTATAAAACATGATTTTTTAGATTTTATAATTTTTCTAATAAAATTTAGTTGTTTATAAAATAATTAAAATTACAAATTTTTTAGTGTTAATTTTCAACATTTTTAGTGCTTTTATGAAAAATATTGAATTTCTTAAAGTGGTTTAAAAAATGTATTTTTTTTAGATTTTATAACTGTAAATAATGCAGTTGGTGACGAGGATGTAATCGAACCGATGGAACTGATTGACAATGAGGATGTGCAATCAAATGCCTCTACAATACCATACAATGGAGAGGAACGGTTCGATAATGAAAATAGAGAAGAAGAATCAGATGCCAATATTGATGACGAAGAAGAACGTTATAGACGTTTATTACTTGAGGATTCAAGTGATGAAAATTCAAGTGATGACGCTTCGAGTGCTCAAGATTCCAGTATAACGACGGATTCAGGATTTGAAACGTCGTATTCAATTTTAACATCAGAAAGCGAGCACACAGAGGTGAACGAAGATGATGATGATAGCGAAGATGATGATGAAGAAGAAGAAATAAACGAGGAAGTAGAAGCAATCGAGGAAGTAGTAAATGAAGAAGTAATGCAGGAAAATGAACAACCAGATGAGGTTATGGAGCCTCAATACTACAACCAAGCTGGAGGCAGTAGAGATATCCTCAGAGAACAAGGTCAGAATAGATTTTTTACAATACAATGGGAAAGAAGTGAATTTATTTCAAAATTTAATTACGAGGGTTTGCATGTTTGTTGTAAAATTAAAAATCCACCTCATGATAAGTCGGTTGTTGAGGATATTAGATATCTTGAAAAAGCAATCCGTGCTATATACAATTATATAATACGAAACGTAAATCCGGAAAATATGACTTTAATCAGTTTTGATTCAAGTCATATTAAGCACGGTCAAGTATTATAATTTCGTAAAGCAAAATTGTATAGCGCTGATTCTTTGTGGAATCTTATATATAAAATTGTCCAAAGCAATGAACAATTTAGGGTTGATAATTCATTTACTGTAATAGTAAAAAGCGTGAAAGATAATCGCGGTGGTGGGGGGAAAGCAATGGTTTACAATGATATTAACGTTCGTAAAAAATCATTGTTAACTATTAACAATAAAGATAATCTTTGTTTACCACGTGCTCTCGTAGCTGCGCAAGTTTACGCAGAACGTGGTTTGTTAAGAAAAGGTGAATTACATAAACGTTGGGAACTTGTCAGACACCCGGCTAGATCACACCAGCTTGTACTAGCAAAAGAACTTGTACAAAAGGCAGGTATAGTAATACCTGAGGAAGGTTGTGGTATGGCGGAAATAATTTCTTTTCAAAAATATTTGGCTCGTGAAAAAATAGCTATTTTCGTTCACGACTTTAATAATTTTGGACAAGCAACAAAACCTTTATACTACAATGGTACCCATGAAATTACAGATATTGGTGAAACTGTTAAATTTAATTTGCATATAATGTTTTACCCTTTGCAAAAGCATTATAACGTGATTTTAAATTTAACAGGGTTAGCAAGTACTCAATTTTTTTGCGTGCCATGTAATAAAAAATTTAAAAACCCAAATGGACACAATTGTTTAAACAGATGTACTTCTTGTTTAAAATCTCCTGCTTGCAAAACAAAAGTTGAAGATGACAAAATTGTAGAAGTACAATGTGAGTCATGTAAACGATTTTTTAATGGTATGAAATGTTATGAAAATCATACCACTAAAGGTTCGTTTACATCGGAAAGTAGCGTTTGTGAGAAGCTACGTATTTGTGATGGTTGTGCACGTTTGATTAATCATGGCACTGAAAAAAATCATGAATGTGGTCGTTTCTTTTGCAAAACGTGTTTATGTAAAATGGATTACAATCATGATTGTTTTATGGGTAGTCTGAAAGATCAGGAGAGAAAAAATGAGAAACCTACTAGTTTCGTTTTTTACGATCTTGAAACACAACAGGGTCAAGAAATGACAGGTGTACCCAACGTTAATGTTCATGTGCCTAATCTGTGTGTAGTACAAAGAGTTTGTACAAGGTGTATTAATGAGACTAATATTAATATAAATTGTGAATTATGTGGTAATCGACAAATTATTTACCGTGGTTCAAATGTTGTTTCAGATTTTGTGAATCTCGTCACAAAAAAACAAACAACTTTTGAAAGTGTCGTGTGTATAGCACATAATGCTAAAGCGTTTGATTCGCAATTTATATTAAAATATTTAGTTGAGAAGACTGGTACGCAAACAAAACCTTCTGTAATTATGACAGGTACAAATATTATACTAATACAGGTTGGGCACACAAAATTCATAGACAGTTTAAATTACCTCCACTTACCATTGAGTGCGTTACCTGCTGCGTTCGGATTCTCGGATGTTGCAATGAAAGGGACATTTCCTCATTTATTCAACACCTTAGAGAATAGCGAGTGCAGTAATGGAGAAGGGTATATAGGCTGTATACCTGAGGCCAAGTTTTACTCGCCAGACTCAATGTCTAAAAAGAAGCGAGAGGAATTTTACCTGTGGTATAGAGAAATGACAAATGACAAAAATTATGTTTTTAATTTTTGGAAGGAGTTAATTGATTATTGCGTCAATGACGTCACAATTTTACGGTTAGCCTGTTTATCTTTTAGAGAAATTTTTTTCGAACGTGGTGGATTTTGTCCATTTACAAAATGTGTCACAATTGCTTCTGCGTGTATGACACTGTTTAGAAAAAAATTTTTAAGAAAAGACACAATAGGTCTTCCTCCAAATAAAGGATATCGTGTGTCAAATAATCAGTCGAAAAAAGCAATTGAATGGTTATTTTGGTTAGAACACACGCTACGTAAGAACATAGTACATGCTGGAAAATGCCGTGAATACAGACTAAAAGAAGGCTTGCTTGTGAACGGATACTACGAAGAGCAAGGTAACCGTCATGTTTTACAATTTCACGGTTGCTTCTAGCATGGTTGTGTCATTTGTTATAAATTGAATAGAGATGTAAAGCCCAGGAACGGAGAAAGCCCATCTGTAAAATATGAACGGACACGTGTCCAATCATCAAAAATAGAAGCAGCAGGTTATGTATTGACAGAAATGTGGGAATGCCAATTCGATGAAATGAAAAAGGATAATTTAGATTTAAATATTTTTTTGAAAAATAATAAATTTATTTACGAAGCACCTTTAAATCCTAGAGATGCCTTTTTGGTGGTCGAACAGGTAATACTGTCTGTTTTTATGATGTAAAAGATGGTGAAAAAATATCTTATATAGATATTTGTTCATTATATCCTTATATTTGTAAAACAGGTAAGTTTCCCATTGGTCATCCCGAACTTTACATAGGAGAAGAGTGTAAAAAGTTGATGGGTGATGACGTGTCAGATGTATCAAAACTTGAAGGTTTGATAAAATGTATTGTTTTACCACCTCAAAACGAATTTCATCCGATTCTCCCTGTACGCATGCATTCAAAACTCATGTTCCCATTGTGTCGAACATGTTGTGAAAATTTGCAACAAACAGAATGTGAACATGAACCAGAATTTCGAGAAATAAAAGGTACATGGGTTTCGGATGAATTAAAAAAAGCTATTGAGAAAGGTTATAAACTTATTAAAGTTTTTGAGGTTTGGCAATACAAGACAACAAAATATGATTGTCAAACCGGTCAAGGGGGGCTTTTTTTAGAGTATATAAACATGTGGTTTAAGCTTAAACAAGAAGCTGGAGGTTGGCCTCGTGAATGTGTTGACGATGCGTCAAAAGAGCAATATTTGCATGAACATTTTAAGGTCGAAGGTGTGCAATTAGATAAAAATAAAATTGTAAAAAATCCAGGTCTTAGATCTGTTGCAAAATTGTGTTTAAATTCTTTTTGGGGAAAATTTGGTCAAAGAGACAATTTACCTCAAACGGAAATTGTACATGAGCAACAACGACTCATGGAATTATTGTTTGATTCGCAAAAAGTTGTTCATAATATTTTACCAGTAAATGATGAAATATTGTATGTAACTTTCTCGAGTCAAGAAGGTACATCGCTAATTACAGAGTATACAAACGTTGTATTAGCTGCGTATGTAACAGCTCAAGCACGTTTGAAGCTCTATTCATACCTCGAGCGGTTAGACAATCCTGTCTTGTATTACGACACTGATTCGTGTATATATGTAAATAGTGTTAATAATAAAAACGAATATCAACCCGAAATTGGTAGTTTCTTGGGTCAAATGACGGATGAACTCGCTGTACAATATGGAGAGGGTAGTTATATAGAAAGCTTTGTTTCCGGTGGACCTAAATTTTACGGGTATAAAGTGATTGATTGCAAAGGTAACATTCATTATACCTGTAAAGTTAAAGGTTTTACATTAAATTATGAAAATAGTGAAAAAATAAATTTTCATAGTTTAAAAGAAATGATTGTCGATAAAACTGTAAATTCTCTGCAAACATCTTCACGAGTTATTCGACGAACGCCATATCATGAAGTGATAACATGCACAGAAAACAAAGTGTGCAAACCTGTAAACAACAAACGCAGATGCTTAGAAAAATATGACTCAGTACCGTATGGGTTTAAAAACAGCACATTAAATTTATAAATAAATAAACAAACTCCTATTGTCGCAAAAAATCCTTTTGATCTTGACCTGTGGCATAATGTTAACATGTTAGTTGAATACTTTTTATTTTTTAAGTCATAGAGTACAATTTTATAAAATTTAATAATTATTATTAATTTGTTTCAGCAACTTATTACTGGGTGTATGGCTACTACAATCCGATGATTCTTCTGAATAATGAACCACAAATGCATTGTGCAACAGCAACTCAGTCGTCGTCGTCGTCAACAATGTCAGATCTGTAAAACGTTTAAAATACTTGTAAATATTGTAATAAAGATGAAAAAATTTAAAAATGTAGATAATTACATATTAAATATCTTCATATTTATTTTCACCTTTCACCTGTTTTTATAAAGTAATTGGTAAAATATTCAAAATAATTATAAAAATAACAATTTTAATAAAATAAAAATAAATTTTTTAATTTTTACATAAATAATATTAATAATAATTTAAGAATTTCAATTTTATAAAATTTAATCAATACATAATCTTGTTAATATTATAAAATTTTAAAAATGATATATATTAATAAAAAAGTAAACACTCAAAACTCGACACATGAATTTGTAGGTTAGTTTTCTATATATGTTACCGGTAAAACCCGAAGTCCAGGCATTTCGCGAAATGCCTAGGCAAATCGGGAAATACCTAAAAGTGGCCAGGAAATTCGAGTTTTACCTAGAAATTTTAGGCATTTCTCAAATTGCCTAGGCATTTCGCGAAATACCTAGTCATTTCGCGAAATGCCCAAGTCGATTTAGGCAAATTGAAAAGTTGATCATTCAAAGCCGCATACTAATGTAAACAGATTGTTTACAAAATTATTTGTCTATTATCGAACAGCAATTAGTAATCGACAGCTGTCTATCAGTTTGAGTGATTGTTCGCTCGTGTTCACAGTGTTTTTTTCGATCGCTTGCGCGTAAATATTTAAATATGTCTAACGATAACGTGAGAGAAAATTGGCAAAACGATTTTTTCAGTGCATTAAAAAATTCACAAAATTATAAAATATTACTCGAGGAAGAATACGACGAGATACTAAAAGATATGCATGAAGTGAAGTTGAACGGACCCAAAACTAGTCGGCAATATAGACGAATAAAAAGGTACGATATATTAGAAGTTGCTGGTGTATCAAAATTAATTGCCAAGTGCAATGATGGGGAAATAAAATATTATGTTCCTCTCGAAAAAATGTTCAATATTTTGGAAGCATCACATATTGCTACTGGTCATGGAGGTCGCGACAGAATGTTGGACGAAACAAACAAAAAATATGCCAACATAACGCGTGACGTTGTGAACACGTTTTTATCCAAATGCGAAATATGCCATTTGAAAAAAGTGAAAAGGAAACGCGGTTTAGTTTCAAAACCAATTCTTCATTCTGAAATGAATAGTCGATGCCAAGTTGATTTAATCGATTTACAGTCGCAAGCTGATCAACAATTTAAATTTATCATGGTTTATCAAGATCATCTCACGAAATTTGTTCTCCTTCGACCACTAACATCAAAACGTGCAGAAGAGGTAAGAAAAAAATTTTATTACTTATTAATTTAATTAATTATTTAATAGTAAAATAATATAAAATAAAATATTATTAACAGAGATGTAGAAAATATTGTAAAATACGAAAGTTTAATGTCAATTAATAAACCTTTATTTACACTTAATTTGCAGATATGACTTATTAATTTAATATTTTTATTTACAGGTCCGAATTTGACAAATGTAAGGCATCCTTTATTGACGAGCAAGACGTTCCACAAGATGAAACAATTTCCTTGCGAAGTATAGCGACTCAGGAATCTAATACTAATGGACAAGGATTTACCCGCTGCCACTGTCAGACATCCTGCAAAACAAAAAGATGCTTATGCAGGAAAAAAGGGCTACTTTGTAATTCGAAGTGTCACAGTAGTTCGACATGCTGCAACAAATAACCAGCAAAAAATATATACAATTAATTACACAATACACATATACACAATTAATTTTTTAATAACTTTTTCAATTTGCCTAAATCGACTTCGGCATTTCGCGAAATGCCTAGGAAATTCACGAAAATGCCTAGGCAATTCGGAAAATACCTAAGAATGGCCAGGAAATTCGAGTAATACCTGAGATTTTAGGTATTTCCCGATTTGCCTAGGCATTTCGCGAAATGCCTGGACTTCGGGTTTTACCGGTAACATATACATATGGGTGATTCTCCACAAAGTGGTAACTTTTGAATATGTTAAAATTTTTTTTTTTAATTAAATTTTTTGGAAATTTTTTATTTAGATCTTTATAATAAAGCTTGAGAATGATTATTTTATAGATATTAGAGCTAAATTCTTTCTTTAGTTTTATATACAAACAATTTAAAAATTTGTAATTTAAAGGTTAAATAATTTATTTGAAAAAGTTAATTTTCGACTGCTAATAATTATAAATAGTGTAAATAAGCAAATAATTACTTTAAACTGCTTTAATTAATAAATAAATAATATTTTTACTCATACCTGTTATTGAAATTACATGTTTTGATACAGGTTAATCGAGGTTAATTGTATTCATTCAAAAAAACAAAACACTTACATTACGCGAAACGAAATTAGGAACTGGAGTTTACAGGAACTGGAGTTTACAAATCAAAGAAAAAAATTCATTAAAACCGTAAAAATTCATAAAAATTTAACATAAATACAACTTATTAACTTAATAATATTAATGGCAAATAAAATCGCACTAAAAAAGGGAATAAAATTAATGAAAATCAATGAAATTGTAAACTCTAGTTCCAAATAAAAAAAAGTGGAGAAAATATTAAAAAATTATTTTTACACAGATTTGTTAATGGAAATTAGAAAACGATACACAAAAACTTAGTTTTTGAGATGAACTTTCGAATAGAATAAATAAAAAAACGTTTAAAATAAAGTTTGTGCAAAATAAAACATATTAAACTTCATGATTCATGTGTGGAGAAATGACAAATGTGCGTTTTTTGAACATTTGCAATTGAATTACAACTTTTGTTTTAAAATAAAATTTTTTTTCGATTATGATATTACTAAAAAACATATTGAAGATTAATTATGCAAAAGGTTGAAGTAGATTTGATAACAATTTTTCAAGATATAAAATAGGGAACAGTGGGGAAGCAAAAGTGACCACTGATTGAAGAATCACCCATATACACAAGAAGTTTAAAAACTTAAGAAATGACAGAAAAACGTCTGAGATAAAATAGGTTAGATTTCTGTTTACAGTTAAAAATAAAGAAAGAAATTGTCTTTTTTATATAAATTTGAAAAATATTAAAATAAATTTAAACCAAATTTTGATATAAATTTATATATGAATACTTACCTGTTAAATGTTTGAATTAATTTTCCATTTCTCTTGATTTATAACAAGTTATTAGTGAAATATTAAAAATAATTTTACATATCCAGTTGTAGGAAATATACGGAATATTCAATATCTGTATTTATATAAAATTCTAAGAATATAGTAAATACACTATATTCACTCATTTGACATTGAATGTAAACACTAAAACTTGTCACGAGAATTTTTGGTTAGGTTTTTAATGTATATTCACAACGAGTTTAAAACTTCATGTGAACCAGAAGTATAAAACCAAAGAGCAGAAACTCATGAGAGTGAGAGAGACGGTGATATCAACCTTTCTCCCTTACACTCACGATTTCTGTTTTCAGTTTACGTATTCTACTTACATAGGACTACGCCCTAAGGTCCTCTTACATTCAGCACATTGGTTACGGCGGGCGGCGGCGGAGTCAGTAAACAGCGGAAACACGGATTAAACAAGCTTGTAATAACCGCGTGCACATGCTAATTATATTTTAAATAAATTTCTTAGCTTTTAAACATAATGTATCAGCTCATGAGATTAAAGTCAAATTCACTAGTACAAGGTTGATTAAAGTATTAAGAAGCTGGTAATATGTTACTAGCTGGTTATATGTTACTAGCTAGAGAGAAGTAGTAAATTTTCTCAGTTTTATCATTTTATTTACAGAAATATATATATATATATATATATTAAAAAATGTAAACGTTGTGTTATTAACACGTAAGACTTACGTTTCTTACCGATACGTATTTACAAACATAAAGAGTGATTCAGAATATGGCGTTTGTATATATATATATATATATATATATATATATATATATATATATATATATATATACTTGTCTATCATTATTGTATATTATTAAGATCAGCGTATTGCGTTGCGTTTTGTAACTAGACCATGAGTGTGAGAGAGATGGAGATATATGTTTGCTATATTTGCACCTATGTATATTTCTGTTTTTGTCTATCTTTATTGTATATTAAGGTCAGTCTAAATATATATATATATATATATATCTATACTCGTAACGGTCGGACCACATTCACACTTTTGTTCGTGTACCTGAATCACCTATCTACGTGAAACATTTCTTAACTCGTTACAAAAACATGGATCCTCGTTGGAAGCATCCGTTTACTTCTATGATTTGTGGCCCAACAGGCTGTGGAAAAACATTTTTCGTTAAAAAGTTTTTGAAAAATAGAAACATAATGTGTGATGTAATATTTGAACGAATTATTTTCTATTATTCTGAATGGCAAAATTGTTATGCAGAATATGGTAAAGAAATTGAATTCAAAGAAGGTCTACCACAATCAACTGATTATTCCGACGACACACGTTCGAAATTAATAATTATAGACGATCTTATGCGTGAATCCTCAAATAATACTGTTATAGACCTGTTTACTAAAGGTAGTCACCACAAAAATTTAAGTGTTATTTTTATTTCACAAAACCTTTTTCATCAAGGCCATGGACAAAGAGATATTTCGTTAAATGCTAATTACATAGTTGTTTTTAAAAATCCAAGAGATAGAGCTCAAATTCAACATCTAGCTAGACAAGTATGTCCAGAAAATTCTCGATTCGTTCAAGAAGCTTACCATGATGCAACCTCTCAACCTCATGGATATCTACTTTTCGATCTGAAACAAACAACACCTGACAACTGCCGATTCAGAACTTCCATATTTCCTTCTGACCCCTACCACTATGTTTACATACCGTCGAAGGGTATAAAATCTTGTAGAAGTAGTACATTTGTTCCAGTTATGCAGTTGTAATGAAGCCTTAAACACGTAAAATAATAGGCCACAAAAATGCCTTAACGTTAAAAGCCCTATGTTTGTTGGATGCTAAACAACGATCCGCTGTTCT